CCAACTAATTTCTCATGAGCTCTCGTTATAATCAAATCGAGTATGTGACCTTTCTTATGAGTCGCTTCAGAGACGTGCTGGATCAAATCAAACGATTCCAGGACTTGTAAGAATCGTCGAGCATCGCAATCATTAGGTTCGTCAATATGAAGATTAAAGTCGCCAGCGACTAACAGGGCACTAGTAGTCGAAACAAGTCAAAGGCAAAAACGCTCTAAAAAGAGCTCTGCCTTAATAAAAACGCAGATTCCTTTATTAAAGCCTAACTCGAGAGGTTTTTCAGTAAGAAGGCCGGGTGATTTCGCACAGGGTCTGAGCAGAGCAACGTTGAGGTTCGTGGTGGTGGAAGCGGTGGTGGGGAAGGGGGCTGGGGGATGGAGTCGCTAATCCCAAAGCGTAACATAATTATGGATGTTTTATTTGTTTTATTATTTGTTTTACTATTTTGCCTTACAAGTTAAATCTATACATAAAATTAAAAAAAGAAAATATGAGGCTAGTGAGCCCAGAAGCTAATAAGGCTTCTGAATAGAGAAGGTCAGTGGCTCTCTAGACATAGTCTGTGATTGCAGAACGAAACAATAGATGATTAAACACGAACAATACCACTAGCCCTAAAAACAAAAAAGAAGTTACTGCTTATTTAGGCCAATGAAAATAGAGATCTGGCAAAGCTACTGTACTACTCCTAATGAATATAGGACTACCTTTAAAATGTATTAGGCCATCCCAATTTAATGCTTTGTTTCCCTTCACCCGACCGACCCATTTTTTTGGAAAAATAAAAATAAAAATAAAATTCCAGAATCACTTGTAAAGAAGCAATTACTTTAATTTACAAGCACCCGATCTTGTCTTATTAACACCAATTGTCTTAAATTATCATCGATACTTCTTTTTTGTAGCCTTTTTAGACATTTGATAGTCCTGTTAATATACATCTTTTACCATCTGATTATATCTTGCAGACTAAACGTGAGATTTAATATGCAATCATGTGTTCATTCTTTTTTTTTGCCGACCGACCGACCCACCTTCACGAGAGAGAGGGCGATGGGAAACGAAACATTTTATTGGGATGGCCTTATCTAAGTAGATAAAATACTGACATCTGCAAGACAATTTAACTAAGTACATACAATTTCTTTAGAACATGGAAAATAATCATTAAATAGGGTAAAAACAGATCGTGCAAGTGCAGGAGCGTAAAAGGAAAGGTGACATAATGCAAGAATATACGAGATAACAAAGCGAAAGAAGCGGAAAACTACACACAAGCATTAAGAGAACTTAACTGTGCTTATACCAAGAAAGACGAATTTAGTTTAGAATACAACATAGCAGTACTAGAGACATTCTGAATTTAAGAGCTGAGGAATCAGAAAACGAAGTGTAAATTTCCTTAAATTTGTCCTGCAGTAGGGCAAACGGAAGGAATTTTTACTTCTAGTGTTATGAATGTACGTCACAGTTAAATAAAAACATGTCATTGAAACTATAATTATATCAGGAAAAAGGTTGTTTTAGTTCGTAACGTTACCTATTTGGAGTTTGATTTGGCATTTATAGTAGGGTTTACAATCGAGCGCTTAAGACAAAGTGCCCAAGAATTTAGAATTTAGGTGTTCTAAAATAGGTAGCAATGCATCGGAAACTTAAAATATAAATAAAGCTTCCCGCTCAATTGACGAGTCGCACCTGTCTGACGCCATAGTTAAGCGATTATAAGGGCTCAAACCTATTATAACATATTAAAAAAAACTTGTTTATTCTCAGTTTTTTTAAAAGGTTTTTCTAACTTTATGTCCCTTTTGTCCCCACAAAGTCTGTTATTAGATACATGTAGTACATAAAAAGCTGCAGAAAAAAGGCTGACCTTTTGATTTTGCTCGTGATGTGACCGAGTTGATGACAAGGGAGCCAAGGAAGAATTATTGGGGTAATTAACCCAATATACTTACTTAACCATGACACCGCACTAAAACCTCGTTGGCTAGATTTGCAGTACCTGGCACAGCCCCGGGGACCTACCAAGTTCTTATGTGAGCACCCAAAGCCTTGACATAAATTACATTATGTCTATGTCAAAACTTTATCTCAGTCCTTAAAGAAATGAACAAATGCATAAATGAGTCAATAAATGGGTAGAAACAAAACCGAATTTGAACTCCAACATTTTAAACCATCAAAAGTCTCAAATAATGAATATGGTTGAGCAAAATATCGTGATTTGTCGCAGATTAGTCATTTGTGATTTCCATATGTCGTAAGTTATTAAAAGGGTCTTGAACTTGTCAAGTGTCGACTTTCTAAATTTCTGTTTTCTTAAAGGTGAAACACTTGTAAAGGGAAATTCCCTTTGCATAGGACCGTGCACAAACTGGCCATTTTATGGTCGATGTCCACGTACACCTGTCTCTTGTTTCGAAACTGTGTAGAATTTGATGGGGATCAAAATAGCGAGAATTAAAATAAAAGACCTGCTAAAGTCACTGCCTCTTTAGTTAAGCGACGGATCTAGCTTTTCGTTTATAAATTTCATCATGTACGTTCAGGAATGTTGTTCTTGCCCCAGAGGCCGGGCATTACGAGTAAATATTTCCTTATAAGGTGATCAGTATTCATTAATTTGTTCTAGTTATGGGTACTGTCCAAAGTGTCCTTATAACAGCTGTACTTGAGTGCAGATGAGTCCCATTTCGTAAAGAATAGGGCAAGGGAAACCTCTGCGCATTTGCTGCAAGAAACAAAGCCAACGCTATCTTTGTATAGCCGATTGATTTATTTATCTTTACCCGGAAAACTTCGCTAGACGGAGTATTGCGTGACCATTCAGGCAGGCACACGATGGTCCCTCTTGCTTGGCTTTGGTTTCTGATAACTTATCTAGCAGTGGATGCTCAGTATGCTCGAGGTGGGTAAGCTGCTGGATATAGAATTAACTAATGTTTCGTCAGTTATTATGCTCTAGTCTGAAAAGCAATGACTGCCTCTAAAACACCTAATTAAGTGACATGCTCACACGGTAGGTTGCTAATGGTTTACCAGTCACTTACAGTTTATTGGGGGTAAAAACAAAAGCAAGATATCAAAATTTAATTTCTGGGAAAATTTTCCACAAGCATGAATTAAATTAAATTCCATCGATATCGTCTTTTTTCTTCGGCAAATTTCGACAAGAAAAAGAAAAATTGTTCCTTTAACTCAGGTAGGTTTTTTTAAAAAATATTTGGTTTAGACAAAAAGGCTGCAAATGCAATCACTTTAAAAGTCATTTTTATATGAGGACTTTTGCTTTGTAGTTTAAGCCTTGGAAATAAAAATCTTTTCTGTGTCACTTGGGATTTGAGACTTAATCTTTAGTGAAACATCCGAATGATCATCATCTTTGTCAAGATTTCTCTCAAAAGAAAGTCATCTCTCTCGAAATGTTGGAGCGGGTAGAGCTAAACAAGTGACCTAGACAAATCCCTGTCACAAGGAACTGTATCAAGCGGTGTGTGTTGATGAGTTCCCAAATCTCATGTTAATAAATAAATCCAAAATTATTTCCTTCAAGCTAGGGGATTCCGTGTATAGGCATGCCAAATTGCACTGAATGAATATATAAATTTTGTTAAGGCATGTTTTCATTTGGAGGGTCACAAACTATAAATACATGTAGATGATAGTTTTAAGAAGGCTTGTCCAAACAAGTGTTTGTGTAGACTGCTTGCAGTCCGCCTTTTCTCTTAAAACTCGTCTAGGTCTTGATCTTATCCAGCGCGATTACAAACAACGATGTTATTATATACAGGGGTCGAGACTAGACGAGAAAAGACGGACTGCTGTCTCTTTTGTAGTAAACAAACCCTCCGCCAGCCCAGAAACGGAGTAACCGAGTGGTCAATTGCACAACTGTTGACAGATCATTGACTGGTCTGTGGTGAGATTGCAAGCAATAAAAATAGTCACGCGTCACAAACAACTGCAAACAATAGTGCAGTCTAGTGTTTGTGCTACAGTTTGATACCAATGCATGTCTGTACAAAACAAATAACTAACAGGGAAGATAAAGGAGTATGAAAACAAACCAAAATGTTAACCTGCGAAAACATCCGTTTCTCCTTGCTCATCGCTGCAGGGGACGTTTCGCGAGAAGGAACGTCTGCGACTCAGCGACAGAAATTCCATACTGATGACGTAAATCAATGTTTACATAATAAATTCGGTAGTCATGGGGGTTCCAAATACAAATTTGTTAAATTTTACGTTTCTCCTGGTCGATTTTGGTGAAGTGTTTTGTTCATCTGCGAACGAGCTCCAGCAAAACTCAAATGCTTCTTCAAGAAAGAATATATGCCACAAATATTGACTGTTTAAACTGTGAAAGGTTTGAACCCAGGAGTCATTTCAAATAGTTACTTCATGTGCACTGACCTTGTCACGTCTGGATCATCTGGATGATTTTTCCAATATAGTGACTTAAATGTGTGTTTGTAGTAATGATAACAATATATTTGGGGGTTAAGCTGGGCATTTTGCGGGGAGAAAAAATCATCCAGACGCGACAAGGTCAGTGCACATGAAGTAACTATTTCCTTCAGTCTACGGATACTATTAAAAAATAAAATAAAATACCACTGTAACATTTCTCAAAATGCACCAAATTGCATGTAAGCGCATATACATTTCAAAAAACCACCATTCAATCACAGTTTTTGACAAATGGAAGCTTTTGTTCAGCGTATCAGTGAATCCAACCTCAGGGCATGTTAACACCACTGGAGATTTTCCCTGTATCACGGACAACGTGGTTTATTGTCTGTCGTGCACCAAATGCGACAGTGTACATTAGAGAAAATGGACGCAGGTTGGCGGACCACTTTAGAGAACACCACAAAGATGTCATAAACGGGAGGAATGACCTTCCTGTACCTGCCCACTTCAACCAAGCCAATCATACACTGGAGAACATGACAGTCGTTGTATAAAAGGCAGGCCTTGCCAACCAGGAAAACATGAAAAGGAATTTGAAGAAGGGGACGTTTCCAACCATTAGGAAAAAATCCTCTCAAACACTGTCAAAGCAGAGTCGACGATCGGTGAGTGAAATTACAATGTATTTGCGCTGTGCTTATCACCATTATATTTATTTCCCTATTTACCTGTGACATGATTTTTTCTCGCATCGTTGTTCAATATTCGTGTAATGAATGCTCTGACTATTTGGACTTTCCATATTGTTGCATGTGTTTTCATACTTTTCTGCTTTTTTCTCATAGTTATAGTAAAACGGGCATTTGCGCTGAGTGGACGTGAAGTCAATTCCCCAATTCCCAGACCTTTCCACTCAAGCGTAAGATTTAGAAAAAGTGAAGCTACATAGAAATCCGGCTCTCTATTTTTTGAGAGATTATCTTGCTGTTACTTTGAGATTTGACAGTACTCCAAACTTCCCTCCAAGAAATCTTACAGCAAATTAAGAAATACACGCGAGTCTTTTAAAACGACCAAAAATGGGCTTAGCCTGATTTCTACATTCTATAAGTTCAGTTACTGTTTGCGTTTTTTTTTTTTTGTATTTTAATTCTATTTTCACTGTCTGCAAATGATGCATACATTTTAAGGCAAAGATGTGGTTAAACCTTGCTTCCATTTCTAGTTTTGAAAACATCGACATAAAGCTCAAATTTTAACTTGTTTTGAAGGGGAGATACAAAAAATGGTCGTACCTATTTTCATTTTTAGCTACTAAACGAAATTCTGGCTGGTCAAACTACTAATGAGGATACAGAGGAAGAAGACAATCCTGAAGAAGAGGTGATCTCTTTGAAAGGAAGTTCTGCACCTGAGGAGAGTGCTGACACTATGGGGGCTCCCAATCTCAACCCTAAGGAGTCTCTAGAAGTCGAGGGTGTTCTGAATACAAGTCAGGGTTCTTTGCTTGAGTTAAATCCTGAAAAGGAGGGCTGCATCCCTGAGACTGAGACGGGTGAGACAAGTGTTGATGCTGAGATGGCTTCAGAGGTCCTAGGTACTCCTGGTGATAAGACAGCTCTCGAGAGCCAAGGGATTTCAGGCACTGATGAGGTTACTGAGACCATGCAGATCCTGGAGGCTCAGGGAATCGAAAAAGTGCAGGATATGGATGAAGTTATGCAGATTGATGAATCATTAATGATTCCTGAACTTGAACAGGTTTCTATGGTAGGCGCATAACTCTAATGAATGTTTATTTGCATCTTTGTATTATCATAACAATGGAAAACAACATGTGCAGTTATTTTACGACAATACTAAAACACAAAAATTCTAAAGTCTTGTTATTACAGCCTGTATTAATGTTGAAAGTTTGTTTTCTGTAGGATACTCCAACAGGACATGCTGGGAATTGCGTAACATGCAAAACGCTGAGGAGTGAGGTGACTCAGTTAAGGGGCAAAGTCACAAGACTGAAGAGTAAGTTAATCTCCAATCAAGATCAGTGGGTTGAAACCTTTAAGAGCATACAAGAGCCGAAGCAGTTGCTGATGGTGAATGCTGGTGAGTCAACAATAATTGATGTTGATGAGTCATATAGGCATAACTACCTATCTTTATATTTTTATTATATTTTATCAATATTTGATTATTTAATAATAATTAAAATTTCAATGGTGATAGAATTTTTTTAATTCCATTTGTTTAAGCTATTCAAACTGATCCATGGCCAGTAACAAATGAGACAGAGTTAGGGCTAGAGGATGAATCAGAAGATGAGCAGGAAATGCAGGACGATGCGTATGAGGAGTTTGAGTGTGATGAAGACCCTACATGGAGTCCTGAAGAAATCGAAGATGCATATAAAAAGCTAAAGGAAGATGATGACTCGGTGAAGACTCATCAGAACCCAAGGTACAAAGATGCAAAATTTATTGCATTTTAACATCTTAGCTCTAAGTATCCCCTGGGAAGTGATTTGGAGAGGATCTATTTAGAAAAATTGAGAGGATCTATTTAGAAACAAGAGTACATGAAATTTGTTTTTCAATTTACTCAGATAAGAATTGCCAAAAAAAAAAAAGAAGAAGAGGCATAACCAGCCCATAGACTGGACGTCCCAGGCCTAAAAATGTTTGGTTTGTCCACTCAGCCACGTTGGGGTGGGCTAGATAGCTTAAGGGCTCAAAGTTGTCATGTGTGCAATCAACAGAATTATTATAAAAAAGCATTTTTCAGGATGTATGTGAGAATAAAATCCCAACCCACAATTAGCCAGGTTTACAACAAGGTGAAAAACTGGCAACACCCTGAGAAAAACAATAAAAATGATAATCATTTTTTTTATTGTTATTTTATTATTTCACATGCTATGATTAAATGAGTATTTCCTTTCAATCATTTTTTACAGGTTGGATCTACAAGGAAAAAACATTCGAGAGGAACCGAAGGGAATTGTTTTCCTTTCCAAACTTCTTCTTTTGTTTCAGTTCTACCACTTGTGCTTCTTTTCAAAACCCAAACTTTCTGTATCACAGACAGGTACCTTGTTAACCGTAGAAAGTTTCTGCAGAAACTGTAGCCGGACAAAAGTCTGGAAGAGTCAACCAGACCTGCTAGGAAAGTTTCCAGCGGGTAACCTGCTATTAAGTTTTGCAGTGCTCTGTGAGCCGAGAGAAAAGAAAGAAATGATGCATTAAAACTGTAATTAAATTCAGGCTGAATTCGATTTAATTTTTATTACTTGTGTACATGAAAATTGGAGCAACATCAGAATCCCCAGCCACTGAACTTGAGTTTAACTGAACGCTAGAAGAACAGGGCTTCACACAGTGGGCAAGTTTGTCATTCAACAAAAAGCGAGTAAGTGGCTGAGAATTCTGAAGTTTGGCCCATAAAATTAAGTGCTTACGGACAAGTATTCAAGCAACTACTGTAGGTCCTTCTTGGCCCCAATGGCATACATGACACTCTTCAAGAACAAACAGTGCATTTATTATTCATTTTCTTCATCTTCGAATCCACGATAATGGCCATTTTGACTCGGAAATTGTTTCCTGATTTTATTGTAGGCACAACAGGGCAAGGGGTATCGCCTAGAACTACCAATATAACTCCACAGCAGTCTTGTAAATTGGCGATAGGCCACAGACCTCAGGAATCTAGTTAGAGAAATGAGATCACTGTTAATTCAAGGAGGGATTGGATGGAGATAAATAAATACTCCTTTTAAAAATAAGCAGTTGGGGCAATAAAGCCATTTAGAAAATAAAAAATGTGATTCTATGAGATCAGTCCACGGCGATAAGCTTAGATGTATCAATTATTCAATACTATGTAAGGTTCGATCGTTCCGATACAAAGTCAACAATACCCCAACTTACTCATCATCACTTTTGTTCCTTTGCCCACGAGCAGTTGTGTACGACTTTCCAGCTCGCGTTTTTAGGCCCAGTGCAGCCACTTCTAATACGTGGCGGTTTAAGCAGACGCGTTCAAACCCTGAATGGAGGGTTATGCATACGGTCAGGTCTCCAATGGCTTCTTCTATGACCTCTTCGCAGCGATCGATCTCTTTGCAGCAAATGCACTCCTGCACTTTTGTAACAAGGCTGACAGAGCAGTTCGAGCACGAACACCTGCAAAATAATGTGAAAAATTCGTCAAACACAAGAAAAATACGTCTGTATAAAATTATTAATTGTCTGACCTCTTCAATAAAACTATCGCATAAAATCAGGACTACAGCTAATCACATAGCAACGAAATTGTAAACTTAAACAAAACACACAGTGGCGTTCGTCAAGCGCACGATTTAACGACGGGTATGTTGAAATTGGAAAATAAAAATATAAATCTACATTCCATGATAATACCATACCATTCATTCGCTGGCACCTCTCCCGAATATCTTCGTTGAAACTGTTGTTCCTCTTCTTCTTCGCGATGAACTCTTTCGTTGTAGTCCGGGGCTTCTTCCTCGGTGGCAAGGGGTTCGCAACTGTCGTTGTACGGCGCAATTCAGACAATTCCCCAATCACTTCGTCAACTGTAAAACTTTCTAGATCACTTTCAGATGTGCAGGAAGAGGAATCCGACGGAGATGACATCTTAAACGTCTTGTTAAAAGGCTCTAAACTCACAAACTTTTCCCAAATGCGAATCTTTTAGATGATGTTTCTACGTCACAGTGCATAAATCACGTGGTTAAACGCACGACCGCTTTGCGGAGATCTCGCGGGCTATTGCTTTGCGAACTTTGTAATGGCGGACGGTATTTACGCACTTTTCAGTGAGAAATTTCCAGCCCCCGTACGCAAGTATCGTTTCAATTTTTCGCTATTTGTATAATTTTGAACATATACAAAAGATTTATGTTAAAAAAACTTGGAAACAAAAACAAAAATTTTCGTCGTAGTAGCACTTTAAGGAGCAGGAGATGAGGTCGATTTTCAAATATGGGATTATGGGTCCTAGTGGCCTTAATCAAGACTTGAATAGACTTGACGTGAATTACTCACTTTTTGCTAACTCGCGCGCTGGCGCGCGCTATCACATGTGGCACGCGAGCGTGTGTGCAATGAGACACGTGAGCTAATTTAACGAACTCTTTAACGGTATTTAGTCTGGTACCTTGAAGAAGGCAGCATTGCCGAAACGTCGGTTAAGAATTTTTTGAACAGCGTCAAATGTACATGTAAATTAGCTGCTATTCATTACGTCTTAATCCATGCCATTGTGGTATCGCTATTGATATGTGGCAGAATTCTATGTTACGTTGAAAATATTGTACATGTATTATTTATTACTTGGGTCTGGGACAAGCTTTTCTCGTGTTCTCCCAACATCCCTCGAGGGTTATCACGCCCGTAAACCTATAGAAAGTGTGGTCTATTGCTTTTATAAAATAACTTTAAGTAAACTATGAATTTACCGGCACAATAAACCATAGGTTTTTAACCAATCAGAACGCGCGTACTATCTCAGTTATTTTATAATGAAAAATAATTTCGGTAAAATTTTAACTGAATTGTTAGTCCTGATAACCTTGGACGGCACTAAATTGTACAGTTCAGGTAGATCCCAGCTCGAATTTCTGCTTGAATTTGACATTCACTTCTTCTGAAATGAACGTCAAATTTCACAAAAATTGTGAGAACACACGCAAATCTCTGAAAATTTCAAGTGGAAGATGCAATTTTGTGAAATTTAACATTCATTTCTCGGGCTACCATTAGAATTTTTTTTGGTGTTATTTCAGATGATTTATTACATCTTTAGGTCTTGAAAAATGTAAAAAGGAATGCAATAGTTTTAAATTATTTTTCTGATTGGTACAAGATTTTTGTCCCCTGAAAATTAAAATTATTCAATTTCATGGTGGATTCCGTCTTTTAAAATGTTTAATAGTGTTTGAAAAACTGCTCAGTTTTGCATCCTTAATTTCTAATTCTAAAATCATTTTGTTTGAGAGGTAATGTCAAGCATTCGACACAGTGTTTCATCACCAGATGAAACACCTCGAAATTCGTCAAAAATACTCCGCTACGCGTCGTATTGGCAAATCTTTGTTTACACGTTTTGCGGCATTAACACATAATTTATCACTATCTGATGACGCTAATAAAATAAAAACTCTGAATATTGAAAGGGCATAATAGTTTCAGTTACCTCTGAAAATTTGAGCCCAATACACCGAATAGTTTGGGAGAAATTCTCTTCTAAAACTCGAAATTTTACAGCCAATCTATTAATTGCCACCCAGCAATTTCGCAGTTTTTGATGGCTGATATTTCCTTCAATATTGCTTGCAAAGAGCTAGAAATTGCACAAATTGCTCAACTTAACCAGTTCTTTCAAGTTTTGCATTTAGTTGATACATGTACAGTAGTCGAACCTCTCGGTAGGGACACCTCTCTATTACGGACAGTTTCCAATGTCCAGACAAAATTATCATACATTTTCTTTTAAGAAAACCTCCATAATACGGACTTCCTCTAATAAGGACAACGGACATTAAATCTCGGCCCCAGAGAGTAAAATTCGTCTAAACTTAACCTCTTTATTACGGACACTGCGTTGATCGGGTGATGATAGTTTGTGCATGCAAGGTGCGTGATTTCAAAAGCCCAACCGCTGTATATAAAACAACGATTTGCGAAGTGTACAGAGCATGCAGAGGAAGATAACCGCGGGTTTTTTTAAGGCTTGAATAACTGCAGATAGCATAACTTGATCTTTTCTATTACATTTTGTACCTTAGCTACTGTTACTGCACCTACAAAATAGCGAAAAACGCTTTCAGAATTGTGCTTTAGGTTTCAACACCTTTTACATGGGGCATTGCGCTATAGCTCGTTTCGTTGTAAAACAGTTATTAGTCTATGACTGTACTGACTTACTTTGTAGCTGAGACATACAATGTTGAATGTTACTGAAAGACAGTGTCTTTTGTCTACTGCGAACTAATAAAACTAAATGCAGTTTAAAGACGAGGGTAAGCCTGATTTTAGCTTACTGAACACTCAAAACCGGAAGTGGATCGAGTCATAAAAATGACCTCATCGTAGTGACCTCTTTTATACGGACACCTCTCTATTACGGACACTTCGCTCTGTCCCTTCGGTGTTCGTATTACAGAGGTTCGACATATACGGCCGCGGCTTCTATGAGTTACGGTCGTATGCTAATAAGGAAAAAATGTAAACAATGACGTCAGGAAAGATTGGCCTATTTTCAACTCTCTTCTCACTGTTTTATCCAGTGATGAAACACTGCGTCTCATGCTTGATATATTACATATTACATATCTTGCCAACATTGATCTTTGCGGTTATAATTGCGAAATCAAAAGAAACCTGTTGAAATAAACAATTTTCTCTGTGGTTTCTTGTTGGTGACAAATGAAGCATGCTTATTAGCTTTCGTGCCTTGGGTATCAAAGCACTGTTGGTATTTCCCATGGGATATTTATTTTATGTAGGGAACGTTTGGTCACATTCACCATGCCAAATTTCCTTAGTTAAAGGGTCACTTATTGCATAATAGTAAATACATAGTGTCCCTTGTAACAGCAGCATTAGCCTGCGTAGCAGGCGCTTGGAAGTAGTGGGCATAAATTCTCCATTGTTTCAAGGCAACTGGACTCGAGGATCCGTGGATAAGTATTAGGGAAGACAATAACATAGATAGATATTTATCCAGGCAGCGGATAGCGCTACCCACCTTTCGAACATCTGGGGCCAGATCTCTATGTTTGCTGTAAGAACATACATGCAGTATGCTTCATTCAGTGTACGCTACACAGAGTGTACAGATAGCTTTGATTGACATGGAACTATACATATTGTGACATCAAAATTACACGCAGTAACTTCTCTTCCAAACACTCGTAGGCATCCATCTTCCAAAAGTGACCCCTTACCCTTGCATTCTGGGTTACTGCCGAAGCCTAGAGGTTCATTATGTCATGGTACCAAACGGATGCGAGAGCAGAAAATTTGTTATGATTTGGAGAAAATGAACACAACAGTCGGAACAGTTTACAATTTACAAGACGTGTTTCGGCGAACTTATGCCATCTTCTGTTGTAGAAGCTCGTTACAAGTTGAATATCTTCAGTTTTAGAAGTCGTTACATTTTGAATACGCTAATTACAACGATTTTGATGAAAGCTCAATGTGACAGAAGAACAATGAGGAGAGAAAAAGAAACAGCAAAAAATAACAGCATTTATTTTGATTATATTTTTTGTCATGGTTAAAGTGTGATAACTTAAACACAGGAAGAACAAAACTCTCAGTATAGACAGCACAAGGCAAGATAATCATAAACTAATAATATTTTCGAGAAAAAGATACATATTACGTTTTTTATTGATCATCGTCTCAGGGTCGGCTACATTTTCTCCCTAAATTAATTAAAAGTTGGGATATAAGTTGTGACTCATTAGATTGGCATGTACAGGCTTATTCTTAAACCTGTGGCACATTTGATTATAATCACATGGTTCAATAAGTTCTCGAAAAGTAATGTCTGGTTGTAGAGAGTAAGATAATAGGAAACATCAACGTAAATACAAACATTGCTATTGTTATTTAGTTTTGTAATGAGTGGAGCAAAAGATTCTTTTGTCTCCAATTCAAGAACTAATGCGCTTCTGGTTCGCAGATTAGTATCAATAGGTGAGGTCGGCGTGAGTATCACTACAGCTGTACATGTATATCAAGCTTCTTTGGTCTTAACATTCTCAAGAGAACCACAAAAAGAAACACTACAGTTGACTCCCGATAACTTGAAACCTTCCTAACTCAAACGAAAAATGATTTCCCCTGGATTTCCACTATACATTTACGGTAATTTTACCCTTGGTAACTTGAAGCCTTTGTTTCCCTTCAGATCACTCCCATTAATTTTACCCTCGATAACTCGATCCACGTTTTAAGCGTGTGACAAGTCAACAACAACAACAACAACAAAAAACAGTGTCCTGAAGTCTGAAACATTGAATATTATTCTCTTACTGCCCCTTACGTGAAGTGTACAATGTACATGATACTTGCATTCCTTCCCCACCCATTTTCTTATTTCCTTATTTCCGGTTATTTGCTTTGAACTCCCCATAACTCAAACTTTTTTCGATTTCCCTAGAAGGTTCGAGTTTATTGGGAGTCGTCTGTACTTCACCGATAGATAATTCACAATAAGTAAACCGTGCTTGACTGAGTAACACTTTGCATGTAAGAACTCATGTACATGAGGCTTTTATTATATGCCAATGTACTATATGTACCTGTTTGGTGTAAAAGAAAGTCAAGTCATGCATTGATTATTTAACTTTTACATGATGTAATTATTGTAATAGTTTGTTGTAAATGTACAATTGTTTTCCTTTGCAGTTCCATTTGGAATTCGAGAACCTTTCCCCGTAAACATCTACCCTATTGAGGGGACTGAAGCTAAAGTTACTTGTGTGGCTTTTGATCCATCAGGAAATAAAACTGCTGAAAGGATACAGTTTATGAGGAAAGATAATTTTGCACGCTACACAAATATAACAGCGAGTGAAAACGTTGAATTTACAGAAAGGAGAGAACCTGCAGTGCCTCCGGCAAGTGAGTTGTTTCTTTTTGGACATTCCTAAACACGCCGCCATGCACATGTATATGTCATACCGCGCTGATCTACAGCTTGTACATTTGAGCTCTTAATGATGGTCAGTTGCTATGGTTCAAGATATGACATCCACCGCCCCCCCCCCCCCCCCCCCTTCCTTGTACCACGGTGGAGGTATGAATTTGCGTGTACGTCCAAGGGTTAACTCGTGGATGCGCATCATTTTTTTTTCTGTTTTAAAGAATCACATACTTGGAAAAAAAATACGTGAGAACAGCCAAAGCCGGGGGCTTAAATGGCCTCAGGTCAGCAAAAAAAATTGAAGAATTTGCATGAATAAAAGAAGGCTTTAACTAAAATGATTACAATACTATTAAATCAAAAGAAAGAAAAGGACAGTCAAAAAACTTACGACTGAAATACAATACTTGACAACTAATTTCAAATACTTAAACAACTAATTTTTCCTACAAACCATACAAACAAATACAACTAGTATAGTCCCATAAGGTATACAAAATGGGTGACAGGAAACTTGATTAAGCTATTAACAAATTTAACTAAGTTTAAGCTTGATTATACAAGTAATAATTATTGAGATTGAGTTGTTCTAGGCACTGCAATATTTACTCTTTCACTCTCTCACTCACTCACCCACTCACTTCAGGAGAACATCTCCAAATCTCAGAAAGCATTATTGGTAAGATGCAGTCGAACCTGTATACAAGTGCCCTGTATTCAGGGCGGCCACCCTCTGTTAAGCGGCCAGTTTTCAAAGTCCCAATTTTTCGCTCATACAAGCACTGTATGTTTAAGGAGAAAAACTGATAATATTTTCCTTTTCAATGCACCATTTCTTTTCGTGATCAGTTTGAATTGCTGGTTGTAGATAGACATCGGTGAAACTTGATCCTTGTGAAGAACTTGGTTGGCTTAGCACATGACTGAAAATTTGCTCTAATATTTACCAAAGTTGATGTGTCAAGTCTGCATGTTTTACACTGTACTTTCCTGCGTCGCAGATGCTCTAAATCTTCTGTACAGACTGCACAAATGGTTTAGACGAGTGGGTGAGCCGGCTGCAATGCAGGCTACACTATACAAGCAGTGCTTGATATGTAGTTCTTCCGAAGTGTGGTGATGAGAATGCAACAATGAGCTTCTGGAAGAATAAGTTACTTCTTCGATTTGTCTTTTTGCCTTCGTTTCGATAAGATCAGATCATTTGAAAGCATTTACTTTGGCATTTTCTCACTTGTATTCTGGTGCAAATGTCGCCGTTTTTCAGCAGACTTAAGTCAAGATGTTGGATCAGTTTAAGATTTTAAGGGTACGTTCAAGAGATGCCTTAGATGTAAATGTATGGAAGCTTGTCGCAAAGTTAATTGGGATTACATATAAAAGTAGGATGCCAAAAAGCGATTTTACAAACGAAATCCTGCACGTCACCAAATTTATCTCGATTAATCACGCCTAAAGTCTCTCATGAAAAGTTCCTTAGAATGAGCGACTATCGAGCTTCTTCAAACCCGAGATTTGTTTTGTTTTGTTTTTTTTTTTTTTTACAACAATACACCACAAAGCAAAGCTGTCACAGTGGAGAAAAAATTAAGAAAATTCTTTTTCTTGGCGTGTCCGAACTGACGCAGACACTTGTCAGCACTGACGCGTACCCTCGTCCGAGCTGATGCGTCGATTGCGTCAGTTTCGCGTCTGATTTTTTGCTTAGTTCCGGCCTGTACTCCCCAATGTACCAATGAATACTACAAAAGCTGTAAAATCTATAACGCTCCTACCCCAATGCCCCATGGACGGGTTTAAAAAACTACTACAAATTGGTAAACAATACTAGTCATCATTATTCTTTTTATGTAGGAAATCTATGATTTGTAGTGTACAGTTGCACAGTAATTGTTGTAGCACTTAAAACCCTTTGTCCTGTAGGCGAAAAGCTCATTGTAACTATGACCATAAAGAATGTTACACTGAGTGATGACAGTACGTTTGGTGAACTGGGAAGGTACGAGTGTCATGCTTTTGCAAAAGGAGACCCTTTAGAGAGGAGACATGGATTTAGTGTCAATGTCATTTCAAGTAAGTACAGCTGTATCTTGTTTTAGGAACATCATTTTGTGTATCATCATTTGATACTGTGCATTGTTCATTGTAAATAATATAGTCAAACCTCCTGAAAGCGACAGCCCAAAATGCCAAGATTTAGTGGTCACTTACGGGAGGTGCAGTGGTCACCTGCAGAATCAAACTAATGATGTCTATTTCGAGAAGAGTTCGTACACATCTACATTTTGGGAGAGAATTTATTGCACGCAATTTGTAAGTTATGTCTACTGAGCATGTGGTTCCATGTTCCACTGATAGTTGTTCGGATACTATAAGTGTGTTGTAGTACAAACCGCGAACAAAGAGAACACACCATATATGAGTCAAGCGGTTGCTTACAGCAGGTTAAAAAAAAAAATTAAGCCAGAGGACTTCGAGTGGAGAAATCTTGGTGTTTGGATAGCTGGTCGCTTATGGGAGGTGGTCGCTTATGGGAGGTGGTAAGTTATGGGAGGTGGACGCTTACGAGAGGTTCTTATCATAAGGCTTTGAGTAGGAAAATTTTGGCGTTTGGATAGGTGGTTACTCAAGAGTGGTGGTCGCACATCATTGGAGGTTCAATTGCAGTAACTAGTGTAATAATTACTCCTTAATTTTGGCGCGAAATTTCAGCGATAATTTGTAATTTCACATATGAAATTACAAAATTGCCATGGCAACCTTCCGTAAGTCTCAGTGTCAAGATGGCGACGAAGTTTTAACATGTAATGAATGATGATGCCAGGGGCATTAAAAGACGCTTTAGAAAACCTAAACACACGAACGAGCACATCAAGAAGGTTCTAAAAGGTATTTTGTCGAAAAATTCTGAACGTAAGCCAAATTTAAGCTCTAAACGTTCGAGAGAGGGGAGCTCTCGATCGATGCGATCCAGGATAAACATGTCAAAAATCCAAGATTACTGACGTAATTCGTCACCCATGATATTAACAGGTAATCAAATGGCATACTCGTGAAATTATGGAATAATTTCACGCGCTTTTTGTCCAAATCCTTATAATTTCTCGAGCCTTTAGATTACACATACCAATGGCACACTGTACATTGATGTTTTGTACAATTCATTCTTGTTATCGTGATTGAAAGTCCATTAATCGTGAACAAATTCAGTTATCCATAACGATATTGTAACACATCAGTTTCTTACATTGTTCGGGGGCACCGAACGACGGTTTCTTCCTAAATGCTTTGAAAACACTTTTTAGGTTATCCAGAGTACTTTTAGATCCCTAGGAATATATTCTAAGTGGCGCTAAAAAATTTATATCTGTTCGGTCATCCTAGGGGAACTTGAGTCTTCTCGAAATTGCGAGGGCTTTAGTATTATTTTCCCGAAATTTTTAGCTGCAATTTAAAGTTTTACGAAAGTGATAGTTTTTTTGATTCCTCTCTGCATCTCATTTTCAATCCCGAAAGTTTTAGGTTTTCTTTTCTCTACGAAAAATAGCCTAACATGTGGAGTGAAATGGGAAAAATTAAACTTCAGAAAATCGTAGAGAATATATTTGATAAGTTTCGAAAATTGTAAATGAACGAAACGGTCACATAGAAATTTTTAGCCTTCCTCAAGCTATCGAAAATTCTAGGCAATTTTTTCTACTCCGAACAGATATTTCATAGAAAACAGTCGTTGGGTGCCCCTGATTGTTAGCCTTATTTTTCCCTTTCCTCAATAGTCATGATAGTTTTTTTACTCACTGTCTATAATAAATTGTAAGCAATGTAAATCTGTAATGTGAACGTTTGTTACGTTAAAACTTGTCTCCAGGTTCTGTAAATTATGATTATTATCCAAGTTGAAAAGAACATTATTAATTAATGGTGGCTATACTGGAATTCTCCATTAGTAGTTTTTTTGTGATATTACACTGTATGTACAGTATTTGGAGGCATACCAATATCAAAGTGTTGAAAACAATATACACTTAATGTCAGATCCCGAGGGAAACAGTTAGTTTTGTTTTCCCAAGAGTCATCATGATCAGGACTCGAGGGAAAACAAAACTAACTAGTTTCCCGAGGGACCTGACATTCAGTGTTTTGTTATATTTCTAGACTTTCACTTCAACAGCAACAAAAGAATAACCGGAGCGAACCAAAACAGTCGACTCGGTACTTACAACAACACAAATTTAATTCTCAACACCGCTGAATGAATGATTTGCAGAGTACTTTCCTTACATTATCTGCGTCTTTTTCCTCCACTAGCTAATGTTTTTCTTCCTGGGAACTTCTGGAATAATAAAAGCTCGTTGCTTTTTAGCTTGAGGCTTCGTGTTTGTGTTGTTGTGTTCATTCACGAAAATGAAAACTGGCAGGACCTGGAGGTGTTTTTCTCACCTTCTGTCACGCTACTTTCCACCATGCTATGATCACGTACTGCAATGTAGCCCGAGCGGGGTACATTGCATGCATTTTCACTCAAAAATGGCTTGACCACCAACTAATTACGTCATATCTCGTAACCATAGTTACTGACCATCAACGAACAGCATAGTTGCTGACCATCAACGAACAGCTACTGAAAATGTCAGGTGCTGAGGGTGGAGGGTTAACAGGTTTGGTGGATAACACCCTCCTTGATTTGCAGAATTCGCCATATCCTACTCAGCCTCATTCAATAATTAACCAGAGCTTTTCTCTTAGCCCTGGCTAAATCTATTTATTAAAAACTGAATCATTGGATAATGCAATTCTAGCATTTTGATTGGCTTAGCCGTTATGGTATATGAGCTAATATACCATGTTCTCCATATATGGTCGGTGTACGCGTCAGTTTAAAATTGGAAGCTAGCTGAGATTTTTTTTCGCGAAGGATAGAACGGCGCCCGAAGCAAATCGTTTTAATTCATTTCTTAGAATACTAGAAATGCAATTTCAACGAAAGAAAAAAGACAAAAACAAACAAAAAAGCCACAAGAGCTTGTTTGAAAGTTTGTCGAAAAACACATGAAAACACATGGAACTAAATAAAAGTACCTTGACCAGCTACGAAAGAAGACAAGTGTTGTTTCTTCATGATCGCGAAGCCATTCGCCGATCGAGTCACTCGCCGATAGATGACTGCAGCTTGTTTATCCGACATCAAGAATATAAATCACAAGTAACCAGCTACAAATACAGGCTATGCAGCCATTCACTAGAGCAATCGAGGCGGCAGTATAGCTTCTTTTCTCGTTCAGCAAAACCAGCTTGTGGCTTCAAACAACTTCATAACAAGCGACCGAGGTAATACCGGTAGTTTTTTCTCCGTTGTTCTTACTTTTATAACTGCACCGAAAATCCAAATTCATAGTAATTTCGACGGCTGTCACCTAAAAATTCCTTTCCTTCACATTATCTGCCAGGTTTTTTAAGCTGTTCTGCTGTGTAAAATCCTACAATCACGATGAGTTTTTCAAAAACTAATGTTCATCGCTACAATGTTTTGAATTTTCATTCATGCAGTCTAGGCGAGTCCGTTCGCGCGTTGACAGTTTTGATAGACGTGTGACATGTGAATAGCGGAAGTCCCTTGTCTTTTCCGGTTTGTTCTAGTCGGGGCGATTCAACGAGATTTTGTGGGCGTTTTTAATAAAACAATTATTCCACTCGGGCTTGTTGGATATGAAATGATTATAGCCAACTCAGCGCTATGCGCCTCGTTGGCTATCATCTCATATCCAACGCGCCCTCGTGGAATAATTGTTAAATATTATATTGTTATTTTGTGAATTGAAAAATTTTGGACCCTGAAATCTTATACCAAAAAGTCTTGTATTTGTTCGTGCAGGATCAGAGTACAAAATATTTGAATTTCTGGAATTATAGGAATGAAATTGTTTTTTCATTAAAAACATTTCTTTCAATACATCAGGGAGAAGGTCTATTTTATAAGAATACATAAACTTTCCAACGCGAAAAAAGTAAATATCAGATAATTTCAGTATTTGAAACTTTTGCATATAGGATCAGTGTGAGCATCAAATGGCTTCTTGGAAATCGAATAATTTATTTCTCAAGTTAAGGACTCACGTTTGTGAGATAAGTCGATGCCCATACTGAAGCATAATGTACAAGATAAGGATAAACTAAGCTATAATAAATGGTACGTAAAGAAGTAACAGGAAGGCAAAACCTTGATTTACATATTTCCACAACTGATTTAGAAATTTTCGTTGCAACATTAGCAATAGATAGATAGATAGATAGATAGATTGTTTATTCACCTTAAAAACATGCAGCCAAGAGCTGTATTGCGATAAGGTTTACAAATGCAATAATTTACAACTGTACTAAATTACAACTAATTAAGCGCTTTACAACTAGATGGTCCAACACAATTAACGATATTAAAACTGTTATACAATCACAAATTCAAAAGCATGCGTCAAGTTCCTATATACAATAAGAAACAATAAGATTATATCTTGTTCTCAACTACTGTAAACATAACTTAAAAGAAAACTATAATTCTTGTATCTTTCGGTTTAACACTTTGGACGAATAAATGTTCTTTGTTCTCTGAGAGAGTAGATAGGCGGGTATTTGCTTGGAAGTAGTTTGTGGAGACTGTGAGATTGATTAGGACATATTTCATCGAACAAGTTTGCCGCAATTGCCTCTCTTCTATCATACAGTGTTAAAAGTCCAGACAGCTCTAGAGCCTCAACATATGATAGCTCAGGGTAAATAATCTTCATAGCACGTTTTTGCAGTCTTTCTTGGTCTTCGCTTATATAACTTGGTAGAGTGCGATGAAAAACTGGGCTGCGTACGTACTCCAGAATAGAGCGAATGCATGTGATGTAAAACAGAAGTAGCGCTCTTGTAGCTTGAGACCTTTCTAACTAGTTCTGACACATGGACATTCCACTTTAGATCACTGCTAATATTAAGTCCTAGCAATTTCACACTGTTCACAGTCTCGAGGGCCTGACCGTTAACCCAGACAGGGTCAAATTCTGGTTCGTTCTTGCGAAGCTAATCCTGAGTTCTTTGCATTTCCTTTCGTTTAACTGAAATCTGTCATCCCTTGCTTGCATTGCGAGATCATCTACCACTTGCTGAATACAACGATCATGGCCTGTATATACCACCTCAGAGATTGTGGTATCATCCACATATTTCCTCATATCTGCCTCTCCTGCATTCAATTCATTCATCATTATTAAGAAGAGCCACCGCCCTATTTTTGTCCCCTGAGGAACACCGGCTGGGATGGAGCGCCACTCGGCGAAGCAATGCTGGGCCAGTTTAATAGAAAGTCGGTAATCCATCATAAGATGTGGTTCGGAACATCGTAATCTAAGAGTTTACACAGCAAAATATTGTGATTAATGAGATCGAAAGCCTTACGGAAATCAAATAAAACTACTCTAATCGCGACCGCGTTCCCATCAGATCAAGAGCTGATGTGCCAGTTATGGATCATGCTAACAAGAGCGTGCGTGGTCCATGATTTAGGTATTGTCCCATATTGTTTTTTGTCGATTTTTTTTAGCACGGCCGGCATCACAAAGTCATGAACAACATAATCCTCGGCAATCTTGGACAGGATAGGCGTAAGGGAAATGGGACGAAGGTGCTTGTTGACATCTTGGATAGGTCTTTGGGGACATGGATATCTGCATCTTTTCAAGATAAGGGCAGCCGACCTTCGCGAAAGGAGATATTCATGATATCCATGTTGGGTGGGGCCAAAAGGTCCGCGTTCTCCTTTAAGAGCCATCCGGGGATACTGTCCGGTCCTTGTGCCTTAGCTGGGTTAATAGATCATAACTTTCTAAGGATGGATACTGTGATACCGGTGAGAAATCATCACTCGCAGTTCTGCTCAAAGACACAGAAACATCCCCCCTAAATGGATTGTGAGTGAGCGGTTCGAAATCCTCCATTGGGGCTAAGAAAGCTGTGTTGATGTGGTTCTACGTAAGATTCTCATCAAGGATCCGATTGTTACATTATCGCTTTTCATTAATAAGTGTTGTCAAAGCATTCAATTTGTGACAAGTATTATGTAACCAGTTACATAACCCCCATAGTTATAAATTAGGTCTTTTCATATCTTTTTGTTTAGAACAGTTATATGTAAATTTAGTAGCTTTACTTAAAAAGTAGTTTAATCTTCCAGGCCAATGGATTAAAATATTTCAGAGTTTATAGGCTGAACTCCGTTTTTGCTACGTTATTTTACACCGATCATACCCAAGAATGCAGTTAACAAATCGAGCACAACTTTCCATGGTCTACAATCGTATCGATCATGGAAATGACGTCATAAAATGTTTAACACTCAAGTGGAACCACGAGCCGAGGGCGAGTGGTTTCACTGCAAAGTTTTGAACATTTTATGGCGTATTCCTTTTCTGATGCGCGCGGCTTTTTAAGGTGAGACTTCGCATGTAAATCAAAAGCGTATTGTTTATTATGCGTTTTAATAAGCCAGGAATTTCATTTGCCTCTCGAAGATAAAATTTTTACCCTTTTCATTTATTATCGTCTCAATGCCCTAAACCACTAGCCAGAATAACGAATAAGCTACAATACTCGTCAAAAAACTTGAAACACTTGTGTGCGTTTCCCCTTCCCCAATGTTGTTTAGGGTATTACGGTCGATCGTCTCAGTGCTCCAAAATACGCGAGGCGCAACATCGGGGAAGGAGAGGGGCACATCTAAGTGACAACAAAAGTGCGATGAGTGAATGTAAGAATCAAAGTCTCGAGAAAATTCACAAGAAACAGTGTCTGTTTCAACAATTTGTGACGAGTATTGTAGTTTTCACAGATTCAACTCTCTGGTTCACGGTCATTGCTTTTTTGACTTGTCGCACGCGCGGCTTTAGAGATGAGACCTGTATTTATTGCAAGAGTGCATTGTTCAGTGATACTGGGCGGGTTAGGTTCATTTGGCTCTCTTGTAAATAACACTATAACCGGTTTTAGTTATTCTGGTCTCAGTACCCTAAACCATTACCCCGAATAACAAATGATCTTTACTGAGTTCTCACTGCAATTTATTGTACTTTATTCAGTCGAATGAGCGGATTTAGAGGTGAGACTTTTCATGTAAGTGAAAAGCAAATTCTTTATTATTAAATAAGCTGGAAATTTCATTCGACTCTCAAAGATAAAATTTTCACCCGTTATTATTTATCTTCTCAATACCGTAAACCATTAGTCCGGATAACGAATAAGCTAGCTCTCACTGCAAGTCAATTAATATATCTAGCTGCTTACGGTCACACTTAAGTCGCACGCGCGGCTTTAGAGAAGGCTTTGCATTTATTGTAACTTGTGTTGCTCCTAAAGTAAACTTTGCACAGTATATGTATTTGCATTGCCTCCCCATCCCACTTCCTTATTTTGTGGTTATTTGCTTCTCGCTCCTGATAATTTTTGCTCCTGATAACTGGAATTTTTGTTGATTTCCGTGGAAGATTCAAGTAATCACGAGTCTACTGTTTAGCACATGAAAGGGGGATATTTTGTCTGGTCTTAAAACCACTGGAACTACATGGATATTGTATTAGAGACAATGGACAGAAATTATAGCTTCACATTCTTCCCTTTTTGTTTGCTTTTTTCTCTTTAGGAGATGAAATTCCATCGGTGACAGTGCCTAAAATCGGTGTGTTGAAACATGGTGAGAACACCACACTCACATGTAACCTGACGAGAAATCCAGTTCAAGGAACAGTATTGAAAACAATTTCTTGGTACAAAGATGGGATTTTGCTGGAAAGTGTCAGAAACCCTGACCCAGATACGCCAATCGATTCCCTTGGGCCTCTCGTTCTTAATAATAATGGTATTAGATCTAGAGATGGAGGAAACTACACCTGCTTTCTGGAAATGGCGCTCCGCAATATCAGAATGTACAATGTGTCTGATAGCACCATGGTTGAAAGTAAGTGCACTGTAGACCCTGATGGAGGGTTAGTCCTTGACTGCGATTACAGCCATCTCCCCTCGTTTTCCCCTGCTAGCTGGACATTCCACAGGAGAGATGTCCGTCCCTCAATGACAGAGATTCCACACTGATGACGTAAAGTCTGTCTGGAATCTGTTTAGGATTTCTGATTAGTTGATGTACTGTCTGCATCAGTCTTCACATGTACGTAGTAGATGTGATGTAGCTATTGTTTACTAACGACAGACAATAGACAAAAGGCCGCAAAGGTCAATAATGAAAGTTACATGTACTTGATAAATCTACTACTAAGAGTCATTATTTCTGGAATATTTGTATATTGAAAAAAAAAAACATTTATTTAAGTTTTGCAGAAGAAGTCAAAACTTTGCAATAATAGTCCAGGAGAAACATAAACTGAGGCAAATGTACATTTGGAACCCCATGACTACCAGATAAATAATGTTATAATATATTCTGTTATACAATGTACATGTATATAAACATTGATTTGCATCGCCAGCATGTGACTTTGGTCGTTGCTCAAGGCGTAGACCTTCTCTCCCACATAACACTAAATTCTTGACTGTTATCAGTGAGTAGTGAGGATCCCAGGCAAGGCTGGCCCGTAAAAAATTTCAATCTTTTTACAGTGGTACGGTTGAATTGACTTTATTTACTTATTTGATAAAAACAAATCAGTGTCCAAGCTGTTATGTCCTTACGCACATTAATTTTTCAGTATTTAGGGCTTTTATTACAGGACTAAGTGTAGGCTCTGCTCGCACTAAGCAAAATTTGGTATGTTTTGCAAAAGAATCGGTCAACAGGAAGCCTTTCCTAGTGCGAACGATTTTTGTCACCCACCAAAACTTTGCTCAAATGTCACCAAACTTCAAAGATGCCGTGGAGAAGATTTGAAGGTCTACAGTGTTTTGTCAGGCAACAATATCATTTGTTCCTTGACAGCTACATATTTCCTTCACTGGGTCTTCTTACTGTACCTCATGAGCATGGCCAATGTATTAAAGTCCCTTTAATTGGCATTTCTTGTTTTATATGAAAAAATTTCTCAGATGTGAGCATGAGCAAGCTTGCGAAACCAAAAAATTGGTGATTACAAAATTTGCAAATTTTTGACACGCGCCAAACTCGTGGTGTGAACATTGAGTTTGATTTTTGCTTCTTGATTTGATTTGTTTGTTTGTTTGTTTTCTTAATCTGTTACAATAAAGTAGGAGAGTTCAAGGACCACAATGACCAGTAAAACTTCTCCATTACATGTACACTGTAGCAAGGGTTATACTGTAATAAATCCTTCTTTTTCTTTCTGTTCTTTGTTTTTAATTGAGGGTGTCTTGAAAAGGGCTGTTTTTCTCATAAAAGTGATTAATGTGCTCGAAATGAAAAAAAAAAAAAGGCTCCAACGTTGCTCCTTGAGGGCTAAATTCAGCAGTTCATAACATTGAAGAATTGTATGCATAATAACTATTATTACATATAGCTGGAAAATTTTCCCAACAGTGTGCGCTCTCGTTGGTCACGTCGAGGTCACTTGACATCTAATAATGAAACTGCTTTCCTTTGTTTTCCGCAAAAACCTTTGAACGGGCAACATTGCAAACTCTATGACGTCAGAGGGTAACACTGCACTGACGACCGCCGTTACAGCAAGGTATAATGAATCTCCAGCTTCAAAATTTCCAGCTGCATAACAAATCACTTAAAAGTAGATGTTTCCCGAAGGACCTATCATTAAGTGTTTAATATCGAATATGTAGACGTTCCTAAGTTATTCTTGCTTGCCAACAGTTACTCCAGGGTTCAACAAGCCAATACAAGTTGTTAACCTTACGATTATAAAAGGAGAAAATGCTTCACTCGAGTGTGCGGCCCAAGGGTTTCCCCTTCATGTTGAATGGAAGTTTCAGAAGAAAGGAGAGGACCTCGTACGGCCTTGCATAGCCAGTAAGACCAAAATGTAGCATATCAACAGTTTTTTTTTTATATAGTTGCAATAATCAGTGTTATAATATAAGACATGCAAACTTTAACTGTTTACCCTTTCCACTCGCGTTCCAGGGTCTAACGCTCGGTTCCAGTCCCTTGTTGGCCAGATTGACTATTTTGCTCATTGGCACTGATTCTTCTTCCTCAGTCGTCTTTTTCAGAACGCTTGCCACGTAGGCTACCATTATTTGGTGACTAAATATCATGGCAAGTCTCTAGATTTCGGAAATTGTAAAAACCTTTTACGAGACTGTAATTGTTGTCTTCATACCTCTAAAAATTTTAATGTTATTGACCTTAGTCTGTACCTTCATATTTACAAAGCAATATGCATTCCAGTCGATCAATAAACGTTGCTTTGATTTTTTTCTTTTATTTAAGATGACTCAGATGGAAAATACCTTGTTCATCGCAGCGGAATTTACGATGCTTATGTGCTGGATATAACTGACGTGCAGAACGCTGATCTTGGATCTTACTACTGCTGTCTTCCCTCTAACTGCTCAAATAATGTTCAAGACAACTGTCAGCAGTTTGTTCTCCGAGGTAAGAGCCCACTGTTATGAGATCATAATCAACGCAGAACCTTTGGCTTAATAGACTGATTTTTGCTAAGTCGTGATGAGACTATTAACAGAAACAAAGGAAGCATGCACGATCTGTCCTTGGCATTCACCCGGATGTTAAATGGCCATCACTATGTAATATAACATCAAAATGATACCGCCAGATATTTTCTTGCTTTCGTTTGCATTTCTTTGCCTACTTTTTTCATTTTCGTAGAACTGGATACAAAAAAATGCGACTCAAAGCCTTCGTCCTCTTCGTCTACCGTGTCATGGATTACAGCTGTTTCAGTGGAAGGGGCGTTCCTTGTCGCGGCAACTGCCGCTATTGTAATGTTGGTGAGAAAGTTGCGTGTGAAGCGGACTAAAGAAGGTACTACACCCGATACAAAAACAGACGGGGATGTTCAACGTCTCGCTTAGGGGTAAATTTTGGTTTTGGTCTCGCTTAAATAAATATTTTAAGGAGCCAAGGTCTCGTTTATTTCCGTGAAGAAACACAGGCGAAGAAAAACAGAAATCAAATTGTCTTTTTAGTTTTAAGAACCTCTGTGACAATGCTTTTAAAACAAAAAGCGGTGATTATGTCTTTATATCATTAAAACTCATTGCATGTCGTATTTGTGTGTTTTTTATTTTGCATTTTTGAGAAATTCCAATTTCTAATCCCCGTTGTTTCATATGGGAGTTACACATATGTTAAACCTTCTGTATGGAAATAAAATTGCGTTGTTTAAACGGTGAAGATGCAGATTTAAAACGGTTTTTGCATTTTGAGAACTAATGCTAATGTTAGGGTTACATTTGTTAAACCAATTATTTTTCAATAGTTTAAATTTCTAGTTTAAAGCTAGACAATACAAAGTTCACCTTCAATTTGGCAAAAAATTTGCCAATTTTTTATTAGGATTTCATAATACTTGGTGTATATATATTTGTGAGAAGAGCATCCAAGGCCATTAGGTATGTCACGTGGATATCTGTAACAACTTTCTAATTAAGCAAATAGCCCCTAAGGTCATACCAGTGGCAATTTAGTTTAATCTTTCTTCTTCTTTTTTTCTTCTCCATGCGCCTCCTTTTCTAGATTCAAAAGTTCAAACTGTAGAAAGGTACGACCGCTTACATGCATGTAGTTTATATCTAAATATCTTTATACATCCTTCCTTGTTTTCTTTCAAAATTTGACTTGGGCCAACATTAAGCTTAAATCCACCTTCAGTGCTGAAAAAGGTACCTTAAAACTGGCAAAGTTTCAGAATGGTAGGCTGAAAAGTAACGGAGGTATAGGTCTACAAAGCCAAGAGATTTTGCAGACGATTCCATAGGGTGAGCCATCTAGGTAAAATTTCGTCCAAAAAATGACGTCATAAGTGGTAAGATTGATTGACTAAACACATGCTTCAACATTATTTTTCCTAATATGAGTATAAAAGGAGAAACACTTTGATAGCAGACTGGCAGTCTAGTGACGGTAAAATATATGACGCCATTTTTCGTAAACGGAAAAATCTCGCATGTGTTTGTACCGATGTATCTGCAATTAAAGGTTCCTCTAACAACTAAACTGTTATATTATATCGCCAGTATCTACCTTGAAATTAAGGATAAATCGGTAACAAATCCGGTACAGAACGATGTCATACAGCTTGGAGGAGCAGAACACCAAACAGCACCACCTTGCAGCAAGGAAAGTGGATATTCCGTCTTGAATCACCCCACAGTGGTAAGTCTGTTAATAACATCTGTTTTTGAAACTTGAACATGAACATTTTAATTGGTTTCTTCCTCTCTTCTACCCCCCGGGGCATCTTTGAGTGACAGGCGAGGGAGGCTGGGGAGTGTTTTAGAGTTTTTTTTTTTCGCCACTTTGAAGTTGCGCGGGAGACCGGGACGAGATGGTTGTCAAAGTACATCGTGGGGCTGTTTTTGGCCAAGATGTCGAAAATGCCTCAAAACAGCCCACAGCGCACTTTGAATGAAATCATCTCCACCCGGTCCTCTGCGCAGCCTCAAAGTGGCGAATTACAGTGTATTGTTATCATTTAGTTATTATTAGCAGTCGAACCTCCACCGACGACCACCTCTTTGCAACGGCCACTACCATCACCAAGATGGCCATTGTGGAGAGGTCCAACTGTATTATTTAATTATTTATTTATTTATCAGTTTATTGCTATACATAGTTAAAGCCTCCTGGTGAAAGGGAGAGTTTTTTTCTCTTCTGAAGGTAGTAGAAATTTAAATGTTAAGATAATGATCCTACAATGTTATAATTACGCCTTTTTCTGCTTCTATATTTGATGGAGCAATCACTTGTTTTTCATCTTCGTCCTCATCTTCAAAATCATTTTCGTTGAGACGGTGTATCAAAAATCTGAAGCAATGACATGTTTTACAAAATTTTAATGCCCGAAGTTTGACAAAATCGCTTAGTGAAAATCATTTTCTCAACTGTGCTCACGATGTTGTATTTATAGGTAAAGAAACACTAGGGAAAGTGTGGCACAGGGAAAAAATAAGACGCTTATGACCCTAATGTTTCTCATGTTGGATTAAATTTATCAAAGTTTGTTCGAGATGTGTTGTTGTACGTACAGCCACGTCCGTAGTAACACCGCGAGTCCTCGACTGCGTGACTAACTGATTCAGTTGCTCCAGAGTGAGCTATCTGAATGACTGACTCGACATTGACCGTTCGAGCACAGTAGTTCCAATAAGGTTTAAGTGTAAGCATTTGCCTTAAACTACTCAGTACTCAGAACTTTTTAAATTGTTTTAATTTCAGGCACAAGGTGATGGTTCTTATGCTACCCTTTCGGCTTCGGAGTCAGTTAACAGCGTGAATGGGATATCCAACTTTAATTCACCTACATACGTCAATCAAGTTCCTGCGAATGAATACATGAATAGCTGATTCCGTCGGCACATAGCTTGTGAGATCCACTGGTCGTTGCATGTCAACCCGTGTAAGGGGCACGTCCGTCCAGCTCTTAACACTAAAGAAAAATATTACACTGTTAAAATTTTTGCGCGGAAGAATTTAATTTTAGTCTTACTTAGCATTGTATGGTCCACGTAACCAGTTACCAGTACAATTGACATTACAATTCCAGCTTAGTCATTTCACCTAAATGGTGCATTAAGAATAGACTGGACTCTGTGGCTCAGAGATTTTTGCTCTCTACTCGAGGCTTTTGATGCACTTCGATAGTAGAAGTTAAACTTATCTTAGGCAGGGACCAGTTAAAGCCTTAAACTGTCATCCTTGACGGAAGCCCGTAACATTCATAATAGGACAATATAAGAGGTAAACTATCCTTCTTACCATCTCTT